GTGATTATTGCACAGGTGTGGCATATCAAGATGCTGATTAGACAGCATGATTATTGCACAGGTGTGGCATATCAAGATGTTGATTGGACAGCGTGATTATTGCACAGGTGTGGCATATCAAGATGTTGATTGGACAGCGTGATTATTGCACAGGTGTGGCATATCAAGATGTTGATTAGACTGCGTGATTATTGCACAGGTGTGGCATATCAAGATGTTGATTAGACAGCGTGATTATTGCACAGGTGTGGCATATCAAGATGTTGATTAGACAGCGTGATTATTGCACAGGTGTGGCATATCAAGATGTTGATTAGACATTATTGCACAGGTGTGGCATATCAAGATGTTGCAGCGTGATTATTGCACAGGTGTGGCATATCAAGATGTTGATTAGACAGCGTGATTATTGCACAGGTGTGGCATATCAAGATGTTGATTAGACTGATTATTGCACAGGTGTGGCATATCAAGATGTTGATTAGACACAGGTATGCCTTAGGCTGGCCACAATAAAAGGGCACTCTAAAATGTGAGGTTTTACTGTATTGGGGAGGGTCCGGGGGAATCCAAAAACCAATCAGTATCTGGTGTGACCACCATTTGCCTCACGCAGTGCAACACATCTCTTTCGCATGATACAGTTAATCAGGTTGTTGATTGTGGCCTGTGGAATGTTGGTTCACTTCTCTTCAATGTCTGTGCGAAGTTACTGGATATTGGCAGGACCTCGAACACGCTGTCGTATACACCGATCCAGAGATTTGTGAACAATATTGGAGAGAAATAGGCCCTCTGTGTACATAGAAAAAGTCTTAGATCATTGAGTTCAACTCATAAAAAATGGGGGCAAAAACAGAAGTGTTGCGTTTATAATTTTGTTCAGTGCATATTCACTAGCACAGCAATAACCTGCTTCCCCCTTTCTCCCCCCCAATTCTAACGGTCTCCTCGGAGTAAAGCAGTCTATCCATTCAAATATACACAATATGTGGGTTATTCACTAATCTCCAAATTGTTGGAAATTCTAATCTGACTAGTATAGATGTGGGCTAAAACAGCTGGGAAAAGATCTTCACAACTATTCAGTGTTTAATTCTGACTTAAAAAGATGAGCATTATTATCTACAAAGGAAAGGGTAAATTCTAAAGTAGATAATTGTCCTCAGATTGCAACATCTTTTTCTATTCACATTTTTGTATCTCCATAATCAAGATTATTCGTTGTCAGTTTTCATAAGCAAACTGTGGCCAGATGGTAAATGATGACGGTTTAGATATCGATAGAATAAGCTGATCACTCCCTCTGCCTTAGAAACAAAACAGGCAGATTAATCGGCAGACCCATGAACTTACAAAGCAGAACATTTAGAACCTTTAATTCTTACATGGCCTAAAATTACTTTTTAATTAACTAAGTTACTATGCATAAGAAAGTCTAACATTTGATGACATCACATGATGATCAAGGTGACGTCATCATTGACAGAATGGTAGCTTTAAACATTATACAGCCAACTGTCCAACTTATATTGGGTGAAGTTGTTGACAAATGTGTATTCCTGACCATAAAGTTTCAAAAACACTTGGCTGAAAAGGCAGTGTTTGTGTTAAAATGGACAACTACATCAAATTGTAAACTGTACATTAAGCTGTATACTGTAAATAAGCTGTATATTGTACATTAAGCTGTATACTATACAATAAGCTGTATACCATACATTAAGCTGTATACCGTACATTAAGCTATATACTATATATTAGGCTGTATACTATACAATAAGCTTTATACTGTACATTAAGCTGTATATCATACAATAAGCTGCATACTATACAATAAGCTGTATACCATACATTAAGCTGTATATTGTACATTAAGCTGTATACCGTACATTAAGCTGTATACTATACATTAAGCTGTATATTGTACATTAGGCTGTATACTATACATCAAACTGTATATTGTACATTAAGCTGTATACTATACAATAAGCTGTATATTGTACATTACGCTGTATACTATACAATAAGCTGTATACCATACAATAAGCTGTATACTATACATTAAACTGTATATTGTACAATAAGCTGTATATCGTACATTAAGCTGTATACTATACAATAAGCTGTATATCGCACATTAAGCTGTATATTGTCCATTAAGCTGTATATCGCACATTAAGCTGTATATTGTCCATTAAGATGTATACTGTACATTAAGCTGTATATTGTACATTACGCTGTATACTATACAATAAGCGGTATATTGTACATTAGGCTGTATACTGTACAATAAGCTGTATATTGTACATTAAGCTGTATACTATACAATAAGCTGTATATTGTACATTAAGCTGTATACTATACATTAAGCTGTATATTGTACATTAAGCTGTATACTGTACAATAAGCTGTATACAGTACATTAAGCTGTATACTGTACAATAAGCTGCATACCGTACATTAAGCTGTATACTATACATTAAGCTGTATACTGTACAATAAGCTGTAGTTGTTCTGTTGACTATAGAACCTTTTAATAACTGTAAAGCAGTAAAAATTAACTGTCAATGTAAAACTTTTTTATTTTTGAACCAGTGCTGCCAAAATCAGAATATATTTACACTGAACAAAATTATAAACGCAACACTTTTGTTTTTGCCCCCATTTTTCATGAGTTGAACTCAAATATCGAAGACTTTTTCTATGTACACAAAAGGCTTATTTCTCTCCAATATTGTTCACAAATCTGTCTAAATCTGTGTTAGTGAACTGAGATAATCAAGATGCTGATTAGACAGCATGATTATTGCACAGGTGTGACATATCAAGATGTTGATTAGACAGCGTGATTATTGCACAGGTGTGGCATATCAAGATGTTGATTAGACTGCGTGATTATTGCACAGGTGTGGCATATCAAGATGCTGATTAGACAGCATGATTATTGCACAGGTGTGGCATATTAAGATGTTGATTAGACAGCGTGATTATTGCACAGGTGTGGCATATTAAGATGTTGATTAGACAGCGTGATTATTGCACAGGTGTGGCATATCAAGATGTTGATTAGACTGCGTGATTATTGCACAGGTGTGGCATATCAAGATGCTGATTAGACAGCATGATTATTGCACAGGTGTGGCATATCAAGATGTTGATTGGACAGCGTGATTATTGCACAGGTGTGGCATATCAAGATGTTGATTGGACAGCGTGATTATTGCACAGGTGTGGCATATCAAGATGTTGATTAGACTGCGTGATTATTGCACAGGTGTGGCATATCAAGATGTTGATTAGACAGCGTGATTATTGCACAGGTGTGGCATATCAAGATGTTGATTAGACAGCGTGATTATTGCACAGGTGTGGCATATCAAGATGTTGATTAGACATTATTGCACAGGTGTGGCATATCAAGATGTTGATTAGACAGCGTGATTATTGCACAGGTGTGGCATATCAAGATGTTGATTAGACAGCGTGATTATTGCACAGGTGTGGCATATCAAGATGTTGATTAGACTGCGTGATTATTGCACAGGTATGCCTTAGGCTGGCCACAATAAAAGGGCACTCTAAAATGTGAGGTTTTACTGTATTGGGGAGGGTCCGGGGGAATCCAAAAACCAATCAGTATCTGGTGTGACCACCATTTGCCTCACGCAGTGCAACACATCTCTTTCGCATGATACAGTTAATCAGGTTGTTGATTGTGGCCTGTGGAATGTTGGTTCACTTCTCTTCAATGTCTGTGCGAAGTTACTGGATATTGGCAGGACCTCGAACACGCTGTCGTATACACCGATCCAGAGATTTGTGAACAATATTGGAGAGAAATAGGCCCTCTGTGTACATAGAAAAAGTCTTAGATCATTGAGTTCAACTCATAAAAAATGGGGGCAAAAACAGAAGTGTTGCGTTTATAATTTTGTTCAGTGCATATTCACTAGCACAGCAATAACCTGCTTCCCCCTTTCTCCCCCCCAATTCTAACGGTCTCCTCGGAGTAAAGCAGTCTATCCATTCAGCCACTGTCTACAGATTATAGTTTGCATTCTAAACTCTAATTGTCTCCTAGACATTTCTAGATAAACAACAATCCTTAGGAGCTTGGACTATGCTCCACTCTGTAGACCACAGACCATAGAGTTCCCCTCCTTGGGATAGACAACATAAACTCAACTCACTTCCTGTACCAACAACCCAGTTCTTACAACATCCTCTTGAAATGGGCAAAACCTTGATCTTCCCTGTAGATTCTTGATGAAGATGTGGTTGTATGGCAATACCTCATGTCTCTATAACATAGTGATTATACACGTAAGATAACTGAGGTTCACACATACTGGGTATTGTGCACATGTTTTGGGGGGAATGTTCATTGAGTCTATTGTGAATATAATGTGCCAGAAATTCACTCCTGCGGGGTAACCCAAGAAAAAAATACCCTGCAAATTCCTGACATTTTCACTTTTACACGTCAGCATCATTGTGCACCAGAAGGTCCCTTGGAGAAGTAAAACAGAATAATTAGAAGTAGAAAGAATATTAATTGTTTAATGAAGCCACTAATAAATGGGGGGGGTGGGGGAGGGGGGGATTTTGACATTCTATTTTCACCATTTAGTTCTTTTTTGTGTGACAACTCATTTACAAAACATAAAACTGGTCAACAAGATAAATCACAAAAACCCCATGTCATTATACAGCTCTGTGCCCACACGTGATCATACCCAACCCTTGGAGCATTCACAAACACTTTGCCCGTGATCTTTGCCGAGCGAGTAGATGGGCACCTTATTCTGCAATCATCCCCTGTGCTAACTAGCGTGGCGGCATACATAGTCACTGACTATGTCCTGGTTTTCCTCTTTATTACAAGGTATATTATTGTCAACTATATGGTTGACGCTAAGTGTCTTGACGTAGCAGTAACGCATACACGGACATGGTGACGCTTGGCAAGTTCGACGCGGGTGCACCACGGACATGCATTAAGTGTCTTTGACGCAGCAAAACGCATACACGGACATGGTGACGCTGGCGTTCTTGACGCAGCGGGGTAACGCATACACGGACATGGTGACGCTAAGTGTCTTGACGCAGTAGTAACGCATACACGACATGGTACGGCGTCTTGACGCAGCAGCAACGCGATACACGACATGGTGACGCTTAAGTGTCTTCATCGCAGCGGTGCAACGCTATTTCGGCCAACGACATGGTGACGCCAAGTGTCTTGACGTAGCAGTAACGCATACACGGACATGGTGACGCTAAGTGTTTTACCCAGCAGTAACGCATACACGGACATGGTGACGCTAAGCGTCTTGACGCAGCAGTAACGCGATACACGGACATGGTGACGCTAAGTGTCTTGACGTAGCAGTAACGCATACACGGACATGGTGACGCTAAGTGTCTTGACGTAGTAGTAACGCATACACGGACATGATGACGCTAAGTGTCTTGACGCAGCAGTAACGCATACACGGACATGGTGACGCTAAGTGTCTTGACGCAGCAGTAACGCATACACGGACATGGTGACGCTAAGTGTCTTGACGTAGCAGTAACGCATACACGGACATGGTGACGCTAAGTGTCTTGACGTAGCAGTAACGCATACACGGACATGGTGACGCTAAGTGTCTTGACGTAGTAGTAACGCATACACGGACATGGTGACGCTAAGTGTCTTGACGTAGCAGTAACGCATACACGGACATGGTGGTATATGTTTTGGCAGGCAAGAATGATGGAAGTGGAATGCTCAGTATTAATGCTAAGTAAGGACAAAAGTCAACTACGTTTAACTGAATGTCTGAATATTTATAGAGAGAGGAGAATATTAATCAGTGAGGGTTACTGAACAATAGTGAATTAAAAACAAAATGAGAACATTTGGGCAAAAATAACTGATCTGGAAAGTTATTTCCATCACGGCTAAAGTCACAGATTATTTTAGTCTGAATTTGTAAATTCTGCACTTAGTGAATAAGATTCATTACATCTAATGTTTGTCTTCCATTTACAACTATCTTGTGAAATTCTTTGAAGTGCAATGCCGTATTCAGCCTACAGTACTCTCCCAATGCAGGGAAAATGTTGGTTTCAATAAGAGAAGCTTTTATTTAAATAGTGAACCTCTTGGATATGCCAATTTTCATTAAGGGAGCAAAGGGACGTTAATTCAATCTGTGCCAGCCATGCCATCGGAATAATGATTTAAGGCTGAGAAATGTCTAGCATAGTCTGAAAACGTTTTGACCATTATAGATGCACTTTTGTTTTACAATGTATTGATTTATAAGATGAATAGACAGGACTATTGCCTTCTTGCAGTGATCCAAGGGAAGCGGAGTCTATACAGACAGAATTTAGAGAATAACCTCTATATAGAAAAAAAGGAACAACAACACCAGCCTGTTATATCAGCCCAAGTTTGATTGAAAGGAACGAACTATTTAGAGAATAGACCCCACGGTTCTTGCTCTTGTAACCAAATATTCTGTGTAAACACAAATGATATTTTAAACATATATACCCTGCAGCCGACACATTCCCGGCACAGACACATTTTTACACACCATGAAATGTGTATCATTTGTCTGAATGCTCTGTAAACGCACATTTTCTACAGGTCAGATATTAGATTTGTGTTTTCTGCTAATGTATCTCCTGTCAGTTAGCTAGACGGATAGAAAGAGCGGTTTACTGACTTACTGATACATGTTGAGCGATCAACCAGCAGAATAATTCATTGGTTTCCATATCGACTGATTGTATTTTAGTAACATCACCCTAGAATTCGAACCTGAAACTGGAATTAACTTGTGCAAATATGTTTTACCATAAATGGCTCCCAAATCAAGTTTTTCTAATCTAGCCTTATAATAAAATGGAATAGAGTAGGGTCACCTTTCAGTCCATTTAGAGTTTGTTTTGCCATGGTTGACTTAGAATCGGCATTGCAGAAACATGGGGGCATTGTGAGCAGATCCCCCCTTTTACCTGTAACCAGACGGATTGCTTTTAGTTGACCTTTGACACCCACGGCATGTTTCAATTCCTCCCTAGCATCACCCCTTCCTATTCCTAAACTCACTCTGGTCAGATCCTACAGTCTGTGTTTTGTTTCGAATACACAATGAATCGGGTGAGAAAGAGAAGTAAAAGGTGTAGAGCGAAATATATGGGGGAGGGTGAGTGGGGGGGTGCAACATCTGCTTCCTTGCTGCTACTTTTGCATCTAAAAAGTTCCCTCATTTGCCCCCTATTCCCTGTTGCTCAACAATGCACAAGTCTTTCCAACTCTGGTCTCTCTCTCTCTCTGCTTCTCCAAACAATTACTGCCGAGCAAAAGCAATTGGGAGAGAAAAAGTAAGAAAAATAGGATGAAGCAAGCAAACAACAGACTTTTGCAGCTGGCCCCACGCCAGCATTTAACTCTCTCACTTGTTTTGCTTTAATATTCTTTCCTTTGAGACAATAATATGATTAAGTGTTTTTAAAGGTTTTTTTCTGTTTAGAAAATGAGTTTTTTTTGGGCCCCCCGCACCCCCACTTCTCCTCCATACTGTTTCTGATATACACTTAGTGTCATACTGTGTCCATCCACAGACACAAATCTGAAGTGCACCTTCCAGTGCCACACAGCATGGAGCGAGTATTAAAGATCTCGGCCATGCAGCTGTCTGTAAATTTGAAAGTTTTATGGGAAATTGTACGTCATGTTTAAATGCAGGGTAGACAACGACAAAGTACATTTTGGAGAAGAGCACGATGAACACATAAGGGGAAGCTATAGTGTACAGTAACAGAAATGGACAATATAATCTCTTATGTAATAGAGTGCTCTCTGATGACTGATAACATTGGAGCGAAAAGTGGTTGTTTTTTATTGATCCCACCGGTATCTGCATCTGGAACAGAACAGGCTTGGCTCATCCTCTTTGGTTGTTAGAGGGAGCTTGTTGTTCTAATCTAGAAGATGCAGAACTCTCAGAGCTTAGAGAGGAATCTCTGCTCAGAGACACAAATCTATCACAAGTGTCTCTGCCCAGCCAGCAAAAAAGCTCAGGATATCCTGCCCATTTTTACTCTGATGTTTTCATTTTGTGTGTGATCTGAAGCCGCTTTCTGGTGTTGGCAATGAGTTTTATTAACTCTCGCATTATAGAGGAAGCTTCAGAAGGTCTTTAATGTCCCGATATTGCTGCTTTTTACAAAAAATAAAATATGTATAGCATAGCAGTAAGAGTAGCTAAGAGGGGGTGTAATGGGAATGAGCCCCCCCTCCCTAGTGTTCTAGCAAGCAATCATTGACATGTTTGAGTCTTCCCTCCAGACGGTATTAATTAATATTAAAATGTCATTTCTTTCTCCTTGTTTGCAGACATACTGCAGAGTCTGACAACCACGATCTGAGGAGAAAGAGGTATGCCACCAGAAACCCTGTATTGAGCTTAGACCACCATGGGCCTTTGACCTCCCCACCCATGAAGGTAAGACGAGGTAGATGGAGTTTTCAGCAGCTGTACACATGCACAAGTTGGGGAGGGACTTGTTACGACACTATGGGAATGTCATATGAAACTGTTTTACTGTTGTAAAAGCTTTTCATTTCACAAAAAGCAAGTTACAAGAATTGCAAAGAGACACAGGACCTAAACATTTGCCTTTCTGCAATCGCTTGTTTTCTGATTGGATGCTTGGTGATATCACCAATCAGAACACACATTAAATCAGAATTTAATTTAGGCCAAAAAAATGCATATTTAAAAATAAATTAATATTTGTCTCTGATAAAGTTCATCATTAGAAGAGATGTGAATCTCCCTAAATGTTTACATTTGACACAGTATAGTCTCTGTTAGGGATTCTTTTAACTCATGGTCTTGGGTACCAGTTCGCCCCTGCTTCAGTTTAGTTAGACTGGATTTGTAGTTACCCATCAAAGGCATTGTAGATGCCACAGGCAGCCAAACATTATGGAAGTGATATGAGCACCGCAGCTAATATCGGAAAGCAGTGGTTTCTCATTCCTGATTGTTAGTGAACGTTGAGGATTATAAATTATCTTTCTACACCGTGAGAGGTCACAGGGTGAAACTCGCTAACAAATAAAATGACACATATGTCAACCATGCTGTTTGCCGGGAATGTCCTGAAAACACCTTTGCTTGCTGGAAACCCCCCAAATGATTTCTGCAGTTAAATAAGGTTTTTTTTGTGTGCAATATGTGGTCTTGTGTCTTTGTAGGATGGGGAAGTTAAATAAAGACTATTTTTATATATTTCCCAAATACTGATTTGCTATGAAGTGTAAAATGGACCAGAGGCCTGATCAGTCTTTAAGGGTTACTCCAAGCATCACGACCAGCTCATTGATTCAAAGTGGTCTGGCCTGGATGTGCACCGTTTCACTTTTCAGAGTTTAACCCCTTTGCTGCCAGAACTTTTACTCCACCTCTGCAGAGTCATAGGGGTGTCATCAGCCAACCTAGAACTAGAATTGCAGGCTGGCTAACGTTAATACTGTCTAATGTCAGTCATTGGCAGAGAGCGGTCAGCTGACTCTCTCAGCCAATTAATGTTGACCGCTGCAGTTTCTGGCTTCTGCAACTCTGCACCAGTCACTGGATAGGAGCCTGGCAGAGACTCTGTAAAGGGGACACACTGTAACTAAATGTTTTGCCCAATTACTGGAAAACCAGTCCAGGCTACTCCAAAACTTCTACGTTCGGCTTTAGCGATTATGATGCAGAGAGTATCCCTTTAATAAAATAGTCAGAAGGGTATCATGGGAAATGCAGTCCACAACAGATTAAGTATTAAAGGTTATCTATTATTGGAGTGACCAATAAAGGCAGTTCACAGGGAATGTATTGCTCGGCCGTTCCAGCCTGGACGTGTAGCCCCAGTCCTGTAGCACAGTGGGAGTCCTCTTGGACCAAATTTTACTGGGCTCCAAGTCGACTAAAAGACCTTTGATGATCGAAATGAGTTTACAGTTTGGGTGCTTGGTAGTACAATCTGCACTTTCTCTCACACAGGTTTGGTGAGCGAGAGCCCAGAAGATTTACTGACAGTGCAATAATTAGAAAGGTCTGTTCTGGTTACATTGATATTAGCTCTGTGTGAGCTCTGCAATCCCTCAGTTGACAAAATAAAGCCAACTCTGAAAACTTTAAGGCTTTTGGCATGTTTGTACCTTCTTCAAAAGCCACTGTCAGATGCTGCTAGTCTAGTTGTAGATTCCTCTTATTAAAAAAACAAAAAACAAGTGCATTATATATTGCGTATTGTCTACACGTTACATGAAAGCTGAACTTTTGGGGATTTGTAATACGACTTTACATCCGATTTATCAGAATGATTTTGTAACATTCACACCATCAATCTTTTTAGAAGTAATGAATGTATGCTGTCAGAGCAATGTGGTCTTCCAAAATGGAATGTCCCGCTTATTTTCTAACAGCGAGGCTTTATAGAGCACCCAAGGGACAATACGCAGAAATGCCAGACTGGTCATTAATGGGTTAAAGCCAAGGAGGGGGGTACCGTTACACCCTGTAGGTCAATTCATGTTAAAGAGCAAAAAAAAGAAATTGAAAGAAAATGAAACTCCTAGACATATCTGTGCGTTCAATGACTGTGGGAAGACCTCCCTATCCTAGAAATCTTTAGTCAGCACTTGGAAGAATCTGTGACAGTGTAACAGTAACAAGCACGCTCTGTGAGACACGTCACAAGGGCTCAGTAACCATATACAAAGCAGCACTTCAAAGGGCAGCGAAAACAAGCATTTTCCTAGAAATGAATTAGCTGAGGGGCCCCCTGAATACACACACTGGGACCCTTGTCAGATCAACTCCAGTTCACATTACACACAGCCTCAGGGGTGCAGACAGAGTTAAAGCAGGGGAAAGGTGGGGCACGACTTGTTTCCTACCTGTCTGTGTAAAATTACCAACCAGCAGGTTTTTTGTTTTTAATACAATACACTGTGTCACGTCTCTAAGCAGAATTGTCTTAACCCTTTGATACTCCGCAATGCACAGCACAGACCTATTGCAGGCAGAGAGTTAAACTGTCAGAAGGATACAAGTTAAGAATGCCATGTTTTATGTTATGAAATGATATTTGTCATGGGGATACATGCAAATCCTTTAACCCTTCGAGCGCCAACGGTGTGCAACGCAAACAGTTAAAAGGGTCAAACATAAGTCATTATTATACCATGTATATTCAGCTTTGCATGCCATTTATGTGATCATTATATATATATAGTTTTGTCAGATTATATATATATATATATATATATATATATATATATATATATATATATATATAGTATCGTTATGTGAGATTATTATTATATATATAGTATCGTTTTCTGAGATTATTATTATTATATATATAGTATCGTTTTGTGAGATTATTATTATATATATATAGTATCGTTTTGTGAGATCATTATATATATAGTATCGTTTTGGGAGATTTTATATATATATAGTATCGTTTTGTGAGATTATTATTATATATATATTATCGTTTTGTGAGATTATTATTATTATATATATAGTATCGTTTTGTGAGATCATTATATATATAGTATCGTTTTGGGAGATTTTATATATATATAGTATCGTTTTGTGAGATTATTATTATTATATATATAGTATCGTTTTGTGAGATTATTATATATATAGTATCGTTTTGTGAGATTTTATATATATATAGTATCGTTTTCTGAGATTATTATTATTATATATATAGTATCGTTTTGTGAGATTATTATTATATATATATAGTATCGTTTTGTGAGATCATTATATATATATAGTATCGTTTTGGGAGATTTTATATATATATATATATAATGTAAATATAAACACAGTGTCTGCAGTTGATTTTTACGTCATTTACATTTTCCAGGAAAGACATTATGATCTGCGTTGCGTTTGATCTGGAATACATTAAGATAAATGCAAAGCACATTGTTTCAACTCTTTTGCTGCAGTGAACTCTGGGAATCAAAGTCAAAGCCTGCAGAAATCATATGGTACTCAAGTAATGCTATGTCTTATAATGTTCCTCTGTCACCCATGACGCCATTTAACCCACTGAATGACAGACCAACGTGAAATTCCTACAGTTTGCTGAGTGTTACAATGTATTCCTAACCTTGGTGCTGCAGATATGTGTGGACTTCCCCAATCCTAAAACTGATTGAGCATCATGGGAAATATAGTGCACAAATATTTACAGCACAAAGATTACACCTCACTGCCATAACCACATTCATATTCCAATCTGTTATTGGGCAATGTAACAATCGTTTATAAACCACACTTTATTTATTGCACTAAATGGAAAAGTGTAAAAAGTTAGTCAGAAAGAAAGCAGCCGTTTAGCACTATACAGTATATTTGCTACTATAATGCCCTCTAGTGGGAAACTGCTGTGGATTGTACAATCCATTTTCTTCTTTTTCTTTTTCTAAATACCACACTGAAATGATTGCAAAGCGTTTCTCATCTGTTTGCATTTTTATTGTAGCACCCACTACGGCCATCTGCCGTCCGAGCATGCAGCATCACTCGCACGGAACTGAGGAACCTCTACTGTAAGTAACCAGGTAGTCATTAATTACGCCACTAATTAACGAGTGCAGAGGGAGAGCCAACGACAGACAGCAGCCTTTATGAGACCTCCTCTCCCTGTCTGCCGAGCACAACCTCAGGGTGACAACACACATTTTTCTAATTGCAGCAGCACAGCGAAAGCAGGAACAATAAGCGAAGAATGAAAGGTCAGCAGCATAAAGTGACGTTAACCCCTCATCTGACATGGAGTTCCAGCAGCCAAGGGGTTAACACCACCAATGTGCCATTGAAACAAGTCGACATTGCCATAGGAGAGGTGGTTTCATAGTAAGCATTTTACTTATTTACCGCAATATAGGACGTATCTATTTTACACACTTGGGGTATACCTGCTCAGTCTTTAACCTTTTAAGGACACATGATGGAAATATTCCGTCATGCAGGTCTTTAACTTCTGAAGCCGTGTCCTTAAGGGGTTAAATCCCTGTAGCCTCACAAACAGCAGAAGGCTACCTGCAGAGCAACGTTTAAGCCCTGTGTCTTCATTTGCACTTCATGCTTTCAACAGCTCTAATCTGCAGGGGTAACTTTTAAACACACTAAGTACCTGAAGGAAAGCATGACATCCCTAAATCCAGCAAAGCCTTAATTGACCTGTTTCTAACTATCAGAAAACAAACAGGCTCTCCCTCATGTGCCCTCATATCCTTACTGTATCCTCAAAAACTTTTACACATCCTGGAACGAACACAATGCATTAGTTTAACCTGTTCTATGGATGAAAACATTTTCATATAAGCACAACTACAACAATATTCACGAAAAAAAGAAGTAATACAATCTAATCGCTCCCATTCCTTTACAAGTAAAGAAATATAAGCTTTATTCTGCACCTATACGCTA